ACTGTACATGTCCTACACTCCTATTATAGTAATAATAACATTATGTTGACACTATATTCTTTACTATTACGCGAGAATTTCCTGCGAAATAAATATCATCATATATAGGTAGGTACAATGCTATTGTATAATATATAATATTAAATGTATTGATGTTTTWATGTTACTGGCAATATATTTCCTAGGTAATGTTTAAAATGCTTTGAGTTGTCGTGTAGCCAATGGAAAATGACCAACATTTGTATCGATTATTAAAATTATAATATATTTCTGCGATTGTTATAATCATAATTCATTAACATGGCCTAGGCCCTGTAGGATTTAGGAATCATGTGAATTGTCTAAACTATTTAACTATAGATATCATAGAAAATATTATATGGTAAGTAATTTAAGTTTTATATATGATGTTATGCAATTTTTTTTTACTTATATGACGTGTACAATATTCGAGCGAGTGTATAAAATACTAGACTCGACTGAGCTGCTCAATATACGCATGCCTATATATTCACGACGTCATGTAGATWTCATTAAATTAATTAAAAGTTTTTAATTATTTCTTTAATGTCCTTAATGTACCAATTGTACCATACATTTATTTGTTTTGGACTTAAGTCTGTTTTAAAACTGCAGGCTCCATAAAAAAAGAGAATTCTTCGAAAAGCAGCTGCAGGTTTAGATAATAGTATCTTAGCTGGACCACAGAGATTTCAAAAATTTAATTTTGAAATGAAACATTATACTAATAAGTAGGTATGCTTGCCGTGCTATTAATTCAATATTTAACTTAAAGTGGCGTKSMAGTTATAATAGCTATGTAAAAAACATTAGATCAATACCTATTTAATTTAATATCCATTTTTCCATTTTAAGTGCTTCTAGAAATATCGATCATAAAAATTCAAATAAACGTGAATGTAGAGCATATGATCTACAAGTTAGTTAAGTATACAAAAAAAAATATTGGTAAACATTTCTTGGATTATTTAGGTCCTACAAACTTCAATGCAATGCCTTTGTATCTTAAACAAAGTATATTTAATAATGTAAATAAAAAATCTAACGTTATAATAAATAAKAAATCTATTATAAACTGGCTGTTTAGTGAGCTTTAATTTTAAGTTTTAGAAATTTAGTCTTTGTATTTTGTAAAGTATCATAAAATTTTGTCAAATAACTCATTTACCCCATCACAAGCATCGCTTAAAGGGGTAAATTAATTCTACTACATATATATTTGTATTCTAGTTCTGTACACTATTATGAATATTTTTCAATAAAAAAAAAATATAGTATGAATTTGCAGGTTTGTTAAAAACAAATTTCCTTATTATTGTGACACTCGTCAGTCATAGATCATAATTCTTAATTTTCATATTAGTTATTCATAATTTTAGAAATCTTAGTCGTATAATTTCATACAGGCATGAAMAATTTTTAAAAATTATYAGGAATCAATATAAATTGCTATACAAAACCGCAATTTAACTGAGGACGGAGCTTATATAATTTTCAATTATCATTACTATCAGTAATACCATATTATTTCWTCTACAATAAATATGATTTGTGAGAGAATAACCGGCGTTCCGAAGTAAATATTTACACGTTACAGGATTCGTCAGTCGTAATAATTCTACGTCCGATTACTGAATATTGAAGTTTGAAACACCGTACATCACAATTTATTGTACACATCACACTTGATTATTATGTGTTTTATTGTAGTAGATATCCACATTCTCGTTGTGTACTTTCGTTAAATTTTTAGAGTGCGATGTAGGTACAAATATATAGGATATAGTATACTTTTATTCAATATACCCTATAGGTACCTAAATATAATATACCGTACTTCCGTTGTATAAAATACGGTTGGGATTAAAAAAAAGCAGAGGATTTYAGCCGGCGGCGGCGGCGGCGAGTATAGTATTATTATTCTCATTTTATATAATATAATACATATAAACATTATAGGTATATACGCGCTGTGTACGATCAGCGCGCTGCCTCCGACCGATCATCGGAAATAAAAGGGACGAAATAAAAAAAAAAATAGTAAAAATGTGCGATGCCCTCGTCACAGCCGCCTCCGCCCACAGATGGTAATGAACCACTTGACGTAAACAAATGCAGCACGTCTGTATAATATTATAATACGTGTATAGTGTGCACAATAGTGTCATAATGGAAATATTAAAACCCGCGTCCGCCCTACACTCGCGTGCTATATAGAAGCAGAGAACCGCCGGGAAAACACATTAACAGCAAAAGATAACTGCATGGCGCGTAAATATATTTATTATACGAGTCACAGGTCTATTATATTTATGTTATATTATACTAAATATTATATTTATTTATATGTATACACACTCATCAATCGAATTCGTCGTTGTTATTGTTATTCACGGCCGTGTATACTCTGCCAGTAAGCTATATATATATATATATATATATTATACAATATATACGTATGGGTGGAAAAATTGTGTAGGTAGTCATCGTTCGTTTATCACGTTTCCGCGAAGTACAAAATATAATATTTATTTGAGTTCCGCGTATACGTGCGATTCCAATCGATTTGAATTACATTTCCAATAGGTTTGGAAGGAATATAGTCGTAGTGTTATRTATAGGAAACCCGATTTATAAAAAAAAATTCTCAATCATTTTCTCCCGTGTGCAAAAGGTATTATATTATATATTATATTGTATTCGTATATATCGCAGAGAAACTCTTTTCGTTTTTTGGTGAAACGTTCGGGAGAATATATAATAATAATAATAATAATATATACGTTCTGGCGTTGGCAGCGGCGGCGGCGGCGGCGGGTCGATAGTTAATGCGTCTCCCCCTCGTCGTCGCAGGTCCCTTATATTATTTTGGACGTGTTTCCTATCGGTCGGGTACAAATATTTGTGCCACGCCGGTTAGGCATGTGTTGACCTCGTCGATAACCAGTGTGTATAGAATCATGGTAGTAGTGCGTATTTTATATATATATATTATAAACAGAGAATATCATGTATGTGTAGTGTCCGCGTGTACGTGCGCATGAGGAATGTAATAATGTTTAGAATCACAACAAATCACTTGACAGATATTTTATATTCATTCRATCAAGACAACTGTGTCCGTAATTCTGCCTGGACACAATATARTGCATATATTCGACCGTTTTCTTTTTTTCCTAAACATTATATATTCCACGATATAATGTAAATTTATAATGTTTTAGAAAACGTTATTATGTAAGCTAAAGTAGGTATTTGAACACGTGAATTTTGGATTTTAAACTGTACGCATGCAAAGTAATATATCAAATACACATAACATATAACGATATGGATGTGTGAATGTCGGAGTGTGGCTGTTTAGGGCTAAACTAACAAAACGTCGAAACTAGGTTATCTGATGTTTGTTTGACGATTTGTATACGACGTAGCACAATATACGTCAGTACGTCACGACACAAGACGCGTGCACTACACCGGTGGTCGCCGTCGTCCGTTCATCGTAATCGCGACTAAATGTCTAGACAGTAGACAGTATAAACACGTAAACAATATTCGAAGTAATGTGTCCAATGCGTACGATAAGTGTTCCGAAATTTGTTCTCTCCGGTTTGTACTCGTAGTAGATTTCTTGTATAGGTGATGTTTTTTCTTTCGAAAAAAACTTGGAAATTATACCGACATAATATTCAATATCAAAATACAAACAGAAATAGAGGCTACAAAAACGTACTATTTAAAGTGTACATCATATTATATACTAAAATATACTAAACTTTATAAAGAGCACAATATTTATATAATAACGGATATTCGGATCATATTTGTTTAGTCGTATATTATTTGTCTTAGTGGCAAAATATTGATTATTCGGAGTTTCTATAATATTTAGTTAGGTACTGGGTCTACGCGACGTGTGCTAAATAATAATATTTTAACAAGGTACCTGGTACATAAATATAATCAAAATTGCTCCGTTTAAACGATGCACAGCATCATCATCTGCACTAAATCGCGTGGTTAACATAATATATTAAAATTATTACTTAATTGGTTTTAATTGTGTATAATATATTTATAAATGGACGTCAGTATTACGTATTGAAAAAATTATCGGTTATAAAATGATAATTTTCGATTATGCAACCTAATCGAACACTATTCATATATATAATATACACAAATTTATACACAAATTAATAACGTATTTTATCAGGATTGGTATAAACATACCGAAACCAAATKAATGTAATATATTTATGTCATATTTTAATACGTTATCATAATATAATATTATGAATGTGTGAGCGTGGAAGATCAGAAGTTAACGCCAAGCTGCAACGAAATTATGTATAGCTATATACATTATGCTATCATCATTTTTATTTTTTGCAACTAGTGCAGCGTCTATACTATATAATGGAAAGAAAAGAAATATCTTGCGATCTCATTTTCTTTTCTTTTTTTACGCACACCAGTCACGCGAATATGTCTTTTGTGTCCGACTATGCCCAAGGACACGGACTTCAAAGATATAGTTGAAAGTAAACTCTTCAAAAAACGTAGGTACACGCGTGTCTATTTCCTTTTGGAATTTCAACCAACAGCCCCATATTGAAAGTTTGGTTCACCTACAATACGTCACGARTATACTCGGTATCTCATATTATGTTCTATATATGTATTTACACAGTGCACACATATGATATATATATTATATATAAGGTACGCTCGATTCTCGGWGTAATACGCACACTATTCGATGGTGAGACAGACGGGTAACTAGGTCACAGTGTAATAGTGTTACTTGTGGTTGTTTTTTTTTAACGATCATTATGTTTCTTTTACCTATTATGTTATTATTATCGTCATGTCAAAGAGGAAAACTTTAATTCAGATTTTCAGTTGTTTAGCTCCAGTAACGCCGCAAAAAACATTTTCCGAACCATAATAATAATACAACAATTTTATTGTTTTAGTTGATCCCAAAACATATAAATAGTACGAGTGGATTATCGAAAATGACTACGAACACGGACGAACATTTCGGAGTACATTTTACAATAGCCACGCGGTCCATTTCTATTGCGTTCAGTAAGTAATGATATATAAATATATAATATAATAACATTTGCGTGTATGAGATAGGCCAAAAATGTATTTAGTATAATTGTTTCAAGCTGCAATAACATAAATACGATGAAACTGTTTGATTTTGAGGGGCAACGGATGTATCGTAATATAAAGCTCTTCGTTCCTCTCCTATTGCCAAGGGGTTAGGTTATGAAGTTAACATATTATTACTATAATCCGTGGTCTGGAACGTACCATAGCTACACCTGTGCGGTGGAATATACAAATAAACAATCGAAAACAACAACAAACGAAAATTAAAACCTTATCCGATGTTTAATTGCGTGCAATCGGGTGATTGGATATAAGTATTATTATATTATATAATATATTATCATAGTTCAAATATAATTATAAATTCGTACATTATTTTAATAATTCAATAAAATATAAACTACCTATTTATACCTTATTTATCAAGTTATTTCGGAACTGTATAGAACTATTGTAATAATATATTAATATATTATCATATCATTTGGACTGAGTAATGTCAGTGTATACTTAACTGCAGAAGTGCACAAGAAGCCTTGATAAATATTTTTAATCCACAATTAAAGTATTTGACTTACCATTAACGGGTCTCTCTTGTGTAGTTAAACAATAATTATATTCATACATCGTTATTATTCTGAATTAGTTAATTTATTTATACTCTTTGGCGTAATTCGCACGGAACGGGGTTGGTTAAACTCAGTAAAAGTACGTTATAACTTATTAACTTATAAATATTAAAATAAAATACAATATAATATTATACGCTRCCACAACGGACAATGGAATCGCATTAATTGAAATTAAACCATATTTTCTGGGATTAGTAATTAATTGTTTCGTACTATGTAAATCGAAAATAATAGATAACATAACACTGTTTCGCGTTTGCAAAGCGTAATATATATGGAACACGCGATGCATATTGTAATGCATTGTACTGCGTCCGATCAAAATATAATAATCCGATCAGATACGTAGGTACGTGCAAATCGTCATGTTTTATGCAAATTTTTTTTYTGACCATACGTTTTCTCACGTCTAGGAGGACGAGTCGCGTACACATTATTTTAAATATTTTCAATTTCCCATAGTTTTTTGACATTCTTACGGCGAGTATATACACGCAATGAAAAACAGAGTGCCTAATATAATATTTAAATATTATAATATAGGAAATGACACACACGTACAAACATGTAACGTCATAACCGGTTTCCCGAACTACATTTCAATTGAAATACCTCCATGCGCCGCTGCCTAAATTGTTATAGGTACTCAGTGCTATGAAAAATTCCTGTACAGTATGCACCACCATCATGTTGTACAGATATGCGAACCGAGTGTGCATATTATTATACACACACACGCGTATAATTGTACGACGTTTACGTACGTACTGTGTGGTGTGTTTGTGTGCTAATGATGAATTTTTGTACTRTCACACAGTGTGTTTCCTTTGTTTTTTTTTCTTCCCATTAAATAATCGGATAACCATTATTATAGTACACACGCGTCCCGACGATGAATAGGAGTTACGCCTCACGATGACGCGTCGTCTCGATGTATATATATATGTATGTACATATAACAATACCATGATATTATATTGTGTGGTGTATCGCGTCGTATAGGTATAATATGTTTATTACCAACATTGGTTATAGCCATCCAACGATGCACGTATTTTGTTTAAAGTTTTTCAAATTTTTTTTTTTTTCTATCATTATCTTTGCACCGTCAGGCTTATATAATATTTTATATATAATTATAAACACGTGTGCTTTATGTCGTTTTATAGTCACTTAAAAAAACGCAACCGTTCAATTACAATAAATTTATTATAATATCTACTACGCAAAACACATAGCACGCGTAGTAGGCTTGTTGTAGGCATATTATTATAATAATGTATAATACGCCTAATGTGCGTGTATCTATAATAGATACTATATAATATTATCATGTGTGTCGGTATTATGAGCATAATGTACGAAGACGTGCGTACGGTGTAGCGCTAAAAATATTGTGAAAAATATAAGTGCGTTTCAATTTTTGTGAACGTGCAGTTATCATCACAAATAGTTTACATTGTACCAAACACAATGTGTACCGACACTTCTCGAAGAAGTGTATACAGAGGGAAACCACTTTTCTCACAAAAATCTTCACAGAGACCCGTGTGGGAGATAAAAATATAGCATAATATTTATTTATCACCACACGACAAGGGATCACTCTTGTTATAATATCATATAGTTTACATATACATATATAGTGTGTGTGTGGGATTTAAACCGTACCGTTGCGTGGCCGTCTATATATTGTATTATTTGTATTACATACAGTCCTCGGTAAAAAGGAAAGACTAAAGGGGTTTCGTATGATATATATAAAACGTATGTACATACTATGGTTTTTGCGCATGTGCAATGTGCATGTGCATAATATATTATAATGTCGTTTTTGCGGTCCACTGCAGGCTCTCTGTTTCTCACAGACTATTTTCGACGCATTATCGGACTTGGGGTCCATAACCTCTTCCATACCGTCGTTGTCCGTCTTTTACATCGCATTATCTACTGTAACAGAAATAAATAAAACACAAAAACGTTATTATAC